GTTCTTTCTCGTTAGGTGATCATGCCGGGCTACTGTGTGCAGGGAACAGTGGGACATAAGGTCCTGAGTGGCCAAAAGAAGCTGGAGATGGAGGGAAGAACGACGGTAAAATGGGGAGGGGGCATATTTGGGTTTGGCTCCCCTGGTCTGCTGCTGTTCTCCCGTGCTTTTGCACTTGGCTGTGCATGTGTCTGTCATAATGGTTCCCTCCACCTTTATCATAATTTCCAGCAGCATATACAGGGGTGGTGCCACAATAGCACTGGCCCCAGCTGAAAGCTGATTGGCTCCTGGAGTACCTCTCCTATGTCACTCCCCCATTCAAAACATATCATTGGCTAATGATAAGCTTGCCTCCTCCTGCATTAATTATGGCCCCCATTAGAAAAAATAAAAATCATTCCTGCTAATTTCACTAATGATCCTACTGAACTATGGGTATTGAAATGAGAATCAGCAATAGTGATAATTTCAAATGCAGTTTGACCATTGTCAATAATCAGCAGTTTTAATTTTATTTATGTACATTTGCATTTTTTTCAAAATTTAGAACCATTGATATTAAGTTTGAAATGTCTGGAAGTGTTCATGATTGCATAAACACAATATTACAAACAAATGTGATATGTTCAATGAGCTCTCACCTCAAACCACAAGTTCAGGTGACCTTGGGCCTTTAAGCTAGGTTTCACTGATCATCTCCATGTGTCCCATGTCAGCTGGAGGTGAAGCTGCAGGTGGAGTACATGTCCTTCAGCGCCCACGCCGACGCCAAGGGCATCATGCAGCTGATTCGCATGGCCGAGCCTCGCAGCGTGCTGCTGGTGCACGGCGAGGCCAAGAAGATGGAGTTCCTCAAGGACAAGATTGAGCAGGAATTCAGTGAGTAGGAGCTCAGACCTGTTTTAACAGTCAAGCTGATCATAACATATAGCCCGCTGACACGTGCTAATGACATGTAGAGAGTAGATCCAAAAATAACACATTTCTCTGTAATATGGTTTATAATGTTACTTATCAGTTATCAGAAAAAACAGGCAGTTACCTGGTTCAGGGTGAAAATCACCTCTGTGTATTTTGGACAAATACCCTGATACTTCTGTGAGACGAGTTACGTGTGTTTGCTTAAAACAGTAATTTCTATGGTTAATTTCTGTCTCTGTTTTCTTTACGACACAACAGCATCTGTTAATCATTGTGTTCTATTATGGTTCTTTGTTTTTGCATGAATACTAAAATTGTCCTTCACCACAGGCGTAAGTTGTTTTATGCCAGCCAATGGGGAGACTGCTACTATAGCAACAAACCCCAGTGTGCCGGTGGACATTTCTCTCAACCTTCTCAAGAGGGAGGCTGCCCTTGGAGGTATGTTCTGCTTCCAGCAGAGGGCAGTATAACGCTTGAAGAGATTTCAAGTGTATTAGTATGTAAGATGACATTTGAACCACATGGTAGATGTTTGTCACACACGAGTTTTTTCCATTGCTGTTCATGATTAACTCCTGCCATGGGGTTTTTTATATGAATAATTTAGTACCACAACATGCTTTTCTGTTTTTGGAACTTTTCTAACCAGAAAGTCCGTGCCCTGTATCATTTCGTCTGCAGTTTTGTAACCACATGGCTATATATGTTCCATGACCCGTTTTATCTCGGGTCTTTGGCTGATTCTCTACTCTCAAGTTAAATGTATGTCATTGACGTTTGATTATAAGACTTTGTAGCTAACGGCTGCTGTTTATGGTCTTTGTCTAATGACTCTGCGGTGCGTTCGTGGGCTCTTCCCTGCGCGGTTCATCGAAGGTCCTCTGCCTGACTCCAAGAAGCCGCGGACGATGCACGGCACACTCATCATGAAGGACAATGTGAGCACGCAAGTTACACAAGCTTTCATTCTCTGTCCCCTGCTTGTCTCGGTGTGGTACCAGCTGGTACGCACACTCAGTACCCAATTCTCTGCCACAGAGTATTTTTGGGGCCTAGTATGGTGTGGCATCAAGCTCTGTGCCTTTAGCTACCCTGCCTTCCAATTTAACAGCTAGTGATTTAAGTGACTCATACGATTCCCCCCCCCCACCCCCCAATTCTTTGTCTCTAACTCTTACCACATTTATTTTATATAGACTGAATTGTTTTAATTTTACATCTAATATTACTTAGACTTTAAAAATCTTGAGCTATGAGTTGTCTGTTGTTCCCTTAGATTTAAATAAAAATATTTCTTGTTCCCCTGTCATAAACCCTGATTCCTGATCTATCTGTCGGGATACAGAGTCTCCGCCTGGTCTCGCCAGAGCAGGCCCTCAAAGAGCTGGGCCTCAACGAGCACCAGCTGCGGTTTACCTGCCGCGTGCAGCTGCAGGACCCCTACAGCGACGCCGACACTCTCAACAGGGTCTACAGCCACCTCAAGAGGTGATGATTACGGAGGTGGCAGTGTTTCCTGCCGTTACCATTTTGGTCTTTCCATGGTCACGTAACATGAAATTCGTAATGTTTATCTCAGAAGAATTCATAGCCCCAAACAGTCTGACTCCTTTGTTAATCCAGTTTTTTAGGTGTCATATGAGATTAAATTTGAGTTGACTGTGTCTTATTATCCTATGTTATTCAGCTAGAATAAAACCTAACACAGTCATGCTGCCCTGGCTGGTGGGTGACACTAGTGAGGTACTGTGGTATCTCGGTATACGTCCTTAATCCGTTCCAGATCCTTGGACTTATACCAAACAGAACATATACCAAACTCAATTTTTCCCATAAGAAATAAAGGGGAAATGATTAATCCGTTCCCATGAAAAAGAATCCTATTGTTATTGGCATATTATACATTGATGGGTTTGTATAAAGTTATTTAAACACTGCTTAATACTAAAATACATAAGTACAAAAGCAATTAGATGAAATAAATTAAAAGAGAGTTATAGCGTGGGTTGTTCACTAAATGGTAGCAACTGGCGTACTGACGCTCGTGGGCAGTCGTGGCTTTGTCTCGAGAGGTAAACAAGGGTAGCGTGCTGTGTCGAGACTCATTTTGACCCATACAAGTTCTAGCACGTGAGTCATATTCCAAACAAAGGTCGTATACCAAGCAAAATTCTTCGCGTCCAAACAGGATGTATACCAAGTTGGACTTATTCCAAAGCGGACGTTTAACGAGGTACCACTGTATTTATACCATTTTTTAGTTATGTACAAATATACTATATATTGGTGAAATCACAGAAGTTTCTTTGCAGCATTATAGTGGATCACAGTTTTGCTCAGATCTTGCCTAGCATAGTGGTTCAGTGGGTAGCACTGTTTTAGGGCTGTTGTGTAGCTCAGTGGGTTAGGAATCTGTACTTGTGGTCACAAGGTTGTGAGTTTGAAACCCATAGCCAGCCAGAAGTACCACCACTGGCAATTTGAGCAAGGCCCTTAATTCTAAATTCACAAAGGGCACTGCACTCCGGCTAATCGCAATATTTCTCACATGTATCTCTGTATCTGTCATGGATACCAGTATGGGATATCTGAAAACTAACCAGCTTCTCCACAAGGATGAATAAAATCTCCCCTACTTGCTCTCTCTTGTGGCAGCGTGCTGAAAGGCTACACAATCCAGCACCTTCCTGACGGCACAGTTATGGTGGAATCCATTGTTCTCAAGGTGTCATCCTCTGCTGAAGACCCCAATACCAAGGTTGTTCTGCTTTCCTGGAGCTACCAGGTAAGACCCTAACAGCACATCCAACAGTGACCTCTCAGTCACAGGGAAGTGCCAACCTCACTTTTGCATGGATGAAACGGTGGATAATTTCTGATCTATCTTGGAAAACAAACGCATATCCATCTCAGGCAACTGTCACATTGAGAGCCATTTTCTTCACAAAATGTAGAAAAAAATGTTTGAAGTTGGTGTATATAATCATATAAAGAATGCTTTGGATGCTGTAGTTCTGTGACTTCTGCAGTTTTTTTTTTCCGAACACTTCAACAGCCAGTTTAGGCTTAAAGTGTGGTTGGAAATTCTTTTAAATAAATACATCGTAGGTGGTCTGGAACAGTACCCCCCAGTACAGGTCACATTGTTCCCACCCCCATGATCATGTCCTAGTTGCATGCACTCCTCCGCCGCTTTGTCATCTCAAGGTCAAACCTCAGCGTTGTCTTGTTTTTCTGGAAAATGTAAAATCACTATGACAGTGTGGCAGACATGTTAAGTGTGGCATTAGCCATGAAAACGGAGGCGACAAAACAATATGAACCACCTTACGTCTACCAGTTTATATAACGAATGAGCAGGTAGACTGTTGACTTACAGGAAATAGAAACCACAAAGCTCACTAGTAGCTCTAAACTGTAAAGAACCACAGTCATCTGATAAGATAAATTTGCCTCAGTTATGTTGATTTCTTGCATGGCTGTACCTGCGACAGTGGTTTGGAGTCAGTATTAAAATGACTACTCTGTCCATTCTGTGAATTTAAGGGTTGAAATGTGTAAAAGTATGAAAAACGTCTAACAGTTGCAAGGCGCACAAGAAAAGCAATATTAAGATTAATAAGTAATCTACAAATAGATAATGCAGCCTTGCTATTCAGTGTGGGGTCATTTGCATTCTGGATATATAGGAAATTCTTTTTGGCTGTGTGTGTGTGTGTGTGTTGCTTGGTTTTCAGAATGTAACAGGGTGGTCTGTTATAATATTTAGAGATGGTTTTCTCTTTTAGGATGAGGAATTGGGCAGCTTCCTATCATCGTTGCTCCGGAAAGGACTTCCATCTGGATTGTGCTGAATTCTCTGTGACGAGGATGACATTGTACCTCTCTGTTTGTGCAGGACTGGTTTGAATAAAACTTTTGCAATAAAATGTTAAATCACAGTAACATTGGTGATTTATTATATTTTTTGCTTTCTATATTTTGTATTATCAAGCACTTTGTCTATTAAAAGGTGTTTATCCATAGAATGCTAATTACATAGATAGGGTTCTGTCCTGTGAAAAATAGAGAGCCCAACAAACTATTATTTAATAATAAAAGATACTTTATTGACCTCCTTGGGGAAATTCTTTACGCCTCCCTCAACTTGCTCTTTGTAGAGCAAGCTGTCCGTGAAGGGCAGCCACCCATAGCGGCCCCCAGGGAGCTGGGGGTTAAGGGCCTCGCTCAAGGACCCACAGACGTGCTGAGGCTGGGTTTGAACCGATGACCTGATTACCGGCACACAGGTTATTTCGGCCTCTTGTCACTGCTGGTGACCACATGGAGGGTCTGTCCATGCTGAACATGGAGGCCTCACAGGCTTGAGCTCCCGAGATGTAGATTAGATTCACATTTTGCTGCTGATGTTGTAGACCCTATGGTGCCTACCCAGTGACAGCCATGTGGGCCTGTTCAGCTTGCAGAAGCTGGTGGAGAAGTAATAGATAACGGGGTCCAGGCAGCTGTTGATGCTGACGAGCGCTATGGTGACACGGCGCGCGCGGTAAATAGCGGAGGCGTACGAGCAGTGCTTGATCACGCCACAGCGCATGAGCAGGTGCAGCAGGCACACAATGTGGTACGGCAGAAAGCAGAGCACCGTGATGCCCAGGATGGCGTAGATGACACGCAGCGCCCGGCGGCTGGTGCCAGTCTTGATGCGTGCGATGCGACGAGCCACCAGGGGGTAACACACCATGATGATGACGAAAGGTATCAGTGAGCCAAACAGCAGGCTGCAGGCGCTGTAGGCCGCCAGGCGCTTTTCCCACTCGTTCTCTGAGAAGTTCTCGAAGCAGCTCCGCCGGTCACTGGTGGGGTTGCTCTCCAGAGGGCCGACTATGATGAAGATGGCGACGGCGACCACGGCGACGGTCCACACCGACATGCTGACGAGCTGCGTACAGGGGCTGCGCTGAAGTCGCAGGTAGGCATGGGGGTGCACTGTGGCCACATAGCGGTCGATGGCGATGCAGCTGAGGAAGGCGATGCTGACGTAGATGTTGACGAAGAACAGAGTGCCCGTGATCTGGCACGCCTGGTCCCCGAAAATCCAGTCATTGTGGTTTAAGTGGTAATGGATGCGGAAAGGGAGCGTGCACAGAAAAGCCGTGTCTGCCAGCGCCAGGTTGATGATATACACGCTGGTCGAGGTGCGTGGCGTGATCTTGCACATGAACATGTAGAGGGCGAACACATTACCCAGGAGTCCAAACACCACCACGAAGCTGTACACCACCGGGAAGAGGACGAACTGAAAGTCCGCCGTTTGGGCGCAGCTGCTTTCGGAGCTGTTCATCTTCGGTTTCAGTGGTGCATCCTTGCTGTCCGATGAAGGAAGACGTCACTCTTCAAAACCAGACTTCTTGTATTAGATATTTGATTTAACCTTCCTGCAAGATCAGCACATGCTGGCAACCCTAAAATAAAGGGCAAAACATCACACAGTTATATACAGAGCCTGATGTACAGTTGTTTACCTTTAAAATATGGTCAAAATATCATTTAAAATCAGTTTTTAATTTCACATGAATGTTTTCAAACTGACTTTTAGCTGCTAGTGAGCAGTGGTTGTGTCTTGAGTAAGTGCAGACAGGTAAGGTGATGAAATGAAGGTTGATACTTTTAGAGGCAAAGCTTTTGGAGCCCTAGACTGTTTGAGGAACAATCCGAATGAAATCCCACAGACTCTCAGGCTTCTGAACACCACACTGCTCCATGTTGTGCGCCTGTTCGTTGTATATCTAATGTGGAATGTTTGTTATGTGATGTTTAGTAGATAATGTAAGTAGTAGTCTTCCCTCTGTCTCCCCTTCTCTTATATTATTGATAATTGCAATTGAATTTTATTGCACTAAGTAAATTGTTCCAAAACTCTGTCACTGTGATGTCTGGTCCGTCATTAATGTCGCTTTGTGATTTCAGGAGGAATGGTATTTCGTTTCTCTGCACTACACATGGCTGAGATGACAATAAAGGTTTTTTTCAACTTGCTTCACCTGAACTCCGAATATGGTAAATACATATAAAGAATGCTAATTACAATGAAGCATACTTACAGTGTGTGTAGAGGGACCCAAGTCATTTGATCAAATCCGGTATACCAGGAACCAAAGAAAACAAATGCCGTTTACCCAGAAAATGAATAGAAATGTGGTACCTATCAACTTTTTACACAGGGACTTTGCTGTTTGCCGCCTCTGTGGAAAGTGCCTCTCTGAGATCTGCGGAATGAAAGTGCATCTTTTCAAAACCCACAGGAAACCTGCAGCAGAGTCTGAGTGTTAATTTTACAGAACACGTCATACAGCACACGGGTGCCTCAACAACACCCACCACCACATTTTAAAAACTGGGTCCCACATACCCAAGTCTCACAGCCTAACCCAAAGGCTTTCCTTCCGTCTTCTGCACTGCTTATCCACTAGTGAGAAAGTACAGGGTATTGAGTAAGGAATACCCTAAATCTCATCTCCTCTCTCCATGAGAAGGTTGTGTGTTCTGTTGCATGGGTTTTCTCCTGCAGTCAAAAGAGATGCATTATTTGTGTGTGCGTTCGTATGTGGATTGCATTTATGCTCCCACAATTTGACAAAAACCTGTTGTTTTGACGTTGTGGGGACTATTTTTCAGGTTCTGACAAAGATCTGTACATGTAATCAAAAAACTAAAGATGCCAAAAATCTCATATTTTGTTTGGTTACTTATGGTTATGGTTAGGGATGGGTAGGGGTTAAGGGTGTCGTGATTGGGATTAGGGTTTTTCCCATAGAAATGAATGGACTATCCCCATTTACGTGTGTGTGTGTGTGTGTGTGTGTGTG